AAACACCACTGTCTGAAACCCAGCCAATCTTGCTAAAAATGACCTCGACTGGTAATGATGTAAACAACTACCGGCATCTGATACCCAAATCGATTTTCCGGACTTGGACGACTCCCCAGGACCGCAGTGTGAGATCGAATCAAGTTGAAATGCATAACACATTGAAGTGAGATGAAACATCTCCACATCTGACACCCCATCCAACCTTCGTGCATAAATATCCCCATTCAAACCGCCAAAACACGCGTGGAGCTTCTCAAGCACCCACTTCTTCACCTCTTCTTTCTTCTGCATTGCCTCCAAACTACCATCCCGACTAGAATTCACGTCCCCAGCTCCACCGCCCTTGGTGTCTCTGCAATGCCCATCACCCCAAATCAAAGCAGATCCACCAGATTTCTTGCTAACAGCCTGCCAGAAAATGAAATAATTCCAATTCGACCCTTTGACAAGCTGGCACAGCCCCTGCTGCACACCCAATTTACCCGGCGGCCTAATCAATTCTGACAAAACATTTTCGGAAGCCAGTGAGATCAAGAATTGGCACGCTTCGGTACCCAGTACCGACTCCATCACGACCTTGTCTTCTTCATTCACCCAAAATTTCTCACCCATAACTTCTCTTCTCCTTCCACAACTAGCTCAAACAACACAAAAATGCTATAACTACAGATATTCACAACACAGCTCTCAAATTTCTTATTCCCACTACAGAAATTCGCAATCTTTTCGCAAAAATTCATGACCGGATCAATCTACTGCTCGAATCACAATTAAAGTTCTGAACTTTCAACACATCTCAGGGAATCAATTCTACACAAATATAACATCTTTGATAAGATATCTCGAACAAAAATTACCAACTTCAAATGAACAAAAAAAACAACCTTAAGTTAAGCAAACAGAACTAAAACTCGAAAAAGTCGAGAAATTTAGACTTACCCAATTAGCAGATCCTAAGAAAACTTCAAACATTATATACAAAGACCCTCACTTTACTGCTAAATTAAAGCTGATGAAGTTTTTGGATGCACAAAATTGGCTCAGAAAAACTCCAAAATCCAGGCAGAGAATAATAGTAGACATCCGATTACCTGAAAGCTGATATGGGTTTGTGGCAGATACTTGGATTCCAACTCAGTGCAAGTGTGCAGGAAAGTTAAACAAACATGAGGAAAGTGGGGGTTGCCAAACTTCCAAGATCTGGGGATGTTTTTTAATTGTTTTATTAAATTAAAAGTATCAGTATTCCACCAGATGTGACTCTTTGTTTGAAGAGATTTTTTAATGTAACATGTACATGAAATGGTACATCACGTGTTATTATACAAATGGTAGGATATATGTGCTAAAAAATTAATAACTTAAAAAATAAAATTTCCTACCACTTTTATTAAAACACGTAATGTACATCTTGATTCCTATCACGACTAAAAATTTCTCCTTTCTTTGGACCCTCACCACCAAAATTGAGGCAGCATGTGTCCCTCTGTGTTCCTTTGTTTTTTGGTGAAACGTTTGTGGAATCTTTCATGGGAATGGCCCAGAAGGCCGAATAGCCACCAGCCCATCAAGTAAAACAAAGATAATCACGGGATAGGAAAAATAATGAAAAAATGAAAATGAAAAATGAAATATGAAATTCACTATCCATTAGAAATAAAATGCTAATTTAAAAAAAAAAAAAAAGACAAGTAAACATGTCGCTCCAAGAAGAAAAACTTAAATTTGATGGTCACGTGATCACGTAATAATTCATATTCATGTATTAAGACTTTAAAACATGCATATTGGGTGATAGGCAAGATTGGTACTACACGAACCTATAGTATGATATGTATAAATAGATTTATGTAATATAACATTGGTGGACATATAACACATCTTGTTCGTGTAATTGTCACATCGAAAAATTTCTTCAACAGGGATTGCAATTAAATTTTAAACGTTTACACAGTGTTATATTCCTCAGTTTTCTAAAGGTGTTTGTCTGGTTACAAGTTAGAAAGTAGGGCCACAAATATTTGCATGAGTATTTGTAGAGAATATGATATTAATTTACCATGAAAAAGCAAAAGCGGCGTCCCCAACGAGTTTTCGTACAACAAAGACTTACATGGAAATTGGCCATCGATAAGCAGCAGCTTGCATGCAATAACCTCAATTTCTCGATAGTTGTATTTTTGTTCATCACCTTCAAATGATAGTAGTGCTTATTATTTTATTTATTGTTATTGAATGAATTTAAATGTTGAGATTTGTGTTTATCCACTATACAAATTTCGAATTTAAACTCTTCCAATAACGATAAATTGGGTGATGAGCATCATCATCATGCGAGAGTAATCGGCAGGGAGACATTTTTTTTTCCCTCCTCTTGCGGCTAAAGTTTAGTCACTATCCCCGATGTCAACATGTGGCTTTGGAGTCGGCAGCAACCCTTCTTCATCTCTTCATTGTCTTTCTTTTCCTATTTTAGGTAGTGATCTCTCGCTTTGTTGAGGAGAGCCTTGTGGTAATTGTGGTCACTTTCTCTTCTTGAGGAGGAGAGCTTACGGCACTGTAGCGGTTATGATTTATTACTCAACCCCGAATCTTAAAGGAACAATTGTTGTTCAAAATTCTAAGGTGTTGACTTTGTTGTTTGTGTGCTTGGCAAGAATTATGCGGAGAAAACTCGACATTTGTTGGAGTTGACTTGTTGCAAGGTTTCTACCGATGATTACAAGATCATCAAAGGGTGACGCAGTCTTGCCTTCGTGTGGTCGTTTTAGTGGTTCAAGGGATTCACAATCATGTTTTCTTGTCGTTGCAATGTCTTCAGGTGATGGTACGATGTCTAACTTATGTGTCTTTGACGGTGTTATTATGTCCGGCTCCCAGGGCTTAGACCTTTTGAGCTTATCTTTACTGTTCGTTAAGAACGGGTCTTCCGTGATTGAGGAATCGTATTTCTGGAGAGTTTATTTTATGTTTTGACATTTTTTTTGTTTGTTTTGGTTGTGGTTTCCCTGTTTGTACGCCTAACAAAGGACTATGACGACATCATCGTGATGTCTCATAGCAAGGCATCTTTGCTGAAGGGGTGTTGTCTTTTGTAAGTTCATAAAATAAAATAAAATAAACCATGAAAGGTTTTGTCCACATGAGCATTTCTTTCTATTTCTTTAGATGTGGTTATGTAGGGTAAGTTTTTGTATTGTCTTTTTGTTGCGTTTGAAATTGTATTCCTAATAAATGATGATGTTCTTCGTTTTATTTTATTAATGACATTACCTTCAAAAAAAAAAAAAAAATTTATATTCCATAGTTAATTTACAAATATTACTCGCTAATTAGTAATTACAAAAAAAAAATATATATGCAATAAAATACATGTATAAAGTCAAAATACACATACACGGCCAAGCATACACCTATTTTTACATGCCACACATCCCTTGTTAATTTTTGTTTTTAGATCTTCTCCAGTTTATTGGATTCGACAGCTTCAAATTGAGAAGAAGGTATGAGAAGCAAAAAGAATGATGTGAATCACTAGCCCAAAAATATATACGATAACCTCTGCATGAACCTTTTCCCCGTCTGTCTGCTTAGAACTATACATACACACACACAGAGAGATAAATATATAAATATATATATATATATATATGTATATTATGCACACTTCATCGCTTGCTTGTGACTTTATTAGAGTAGGTGCTTGATATGATCTCTGATGAGCTTCCACTTGTTGATTAAGTTGTAATGGCCGTTGCCGCGTTCAGGGAATGCACGGATTGGGGCCAGTAGGTGGCACTGAACCTCTAGCTTGTGGCAGAAACGCCGTCTTTGGAACAAAAGTCTTCGGCGTCTTCGTACAGCCCAGAGGTCGAGCAGCAGCAGCTACATGATCAGTGGATAATTTGGCTGTGAAAATGATCAAGAGAATAAGCATCAATAACTTCATAGCGTGCATATGGTTTTATATGGTGACCGAAAAATGATGTCGAAAGCGCTTTCTCTCTATGGAAAGATGGAAGATAAGGTGCATGGAATAAGCTTTCTTGTGCTTAATTTATATAGAGATTGAGTTAAGAACTACAAGTGGAACATGAATTCAACTTCGAAACTCCTAAGAAAAGGGGGGCTGACTGCATGCAAGTTACACAATTTGAGACACTCTTAACGAAAAAGTCAAGGAAAAAGGAAAATAAAGGGTAAATTTATTTCCACCAAACCACCCCATCCATCCCCCATCCACAACCACACCACCCATCCCCCACCCCCCCCCCCCCCCCTCTTTTTTTTTTTCTCTCCAACATTTGGAATCAATTTCAATTCCTTAGAACATCATTAAAACATTTAAATTTCATATTTATTTATCTCCCCTATCTTCATATTTGGAATCAATTTCATTTCACTTCCTTACAACATCATTAAAACATTTAAATTTCATATTTATTTATCTCCCCCTCTCTTCATATTTGGGATCAATTTCAATTCCTTACAACATCTTTAAAAAACATTTCAATTTCACCATCCATCCCCCACCACCCCCCCCCCTCCTTTTTTTTTCTCTCCAACATTTGGAATCAATTTCAATTCCTTAGAACATCATTAAAACATTTAAATTTCATATTTATTTATCTCCCCCTCTCTTCAGATTTGGAATCAATTTCATTTCACTTCCTTACAACATCATTAAAACATTTAAATTTCATATTTATTTATCTTCCCCTCTCTTCATATTTGGGATCAATTTCAATTCCTTACAACATCTTTAAAAAACATTTCAATTTCATATTTATTTCTCCCCCCTCTCTTCAAATTTGGAATCAATTTCAATTCCTTAGACCATCTCCAATGGTTGGGCTAAAAGTCAAATTTTTTAGCCCGAAAAATTTAGCTTTTAGCCCAAAAACAGCTTTTCTACTCCAACCATTCTATCCTAAAATTTTAGCCCGGGATTATTAAAGAATGAATTTAGGCTTTTTTTTTTTGTTAAATTAATTTAAAAAAAAATAAATATGTAGACTATCGTAAATTAATTTTATAAACATTTTAATCTAAAAAAATTTAAATTCCGATAAATATTGGGTAGAATCCACCCCGATTTCTGAGCTAAATTTCGGGGGGAATTTGGCATTGGTTTAGCATTTAGCATTTAGCTCAAAATTTCCCCTTGGGTTGGAGTGCGTTTGGGGGGAAATTTTGGGGGGTAATTTGGCTTTTAGCCCACCATTGGAGTTGGTCTTACAACATCCTTAAAACATTTCAATTCATACATTTATTTATCATTTTATTTCAATTTCATACATTCGTTAGAAAACCCATTAAGTAAACCGTTAAATGATAATGTGGAAAATATGAAATCCATATTTGTACCGTATAGTTAAACACTTCATAAAAAATTTCAAATATTAAAATAATTAATTAAAGAAAAGTAAAAATAAAGAATAAAAAAAGAAAAACCCAGTTTTCCCCTTCGTCTTCCCCACCCCCAAATCAAACACACTCCCTCTCTAATCACCCTATTCCTCCTCTCCCTCTACCTTACCTCCCGCCGCCACTCCCGGGCCTAGAAGGCCCAGCCCAAGCCCGTTGCCGCCATCCAGCCGGGTCGCCATGGCCCGCAGCATCTCTCCCTTCTCACCTTCGTTCTTCACCTTCTCGGCGACGGGAAGGATGAAGAACTTCCATTGCCATCAGACAGAGGGCTGGCGCTGCAACCCTGCAAAATCCCAGATAAAGTTCAGCATTTCTGATTAGATTTGGTAGGAATTTGAGGAGCTGGCTTGGAAATTGAAGGTGAGGACTTTGATGGAGGAGCTGATATACTAGGTGTAGGGTATGGCATGGACGGTCGACGAGTTGGTGTTGAAGCTCTTGATGCAGGCTTGGTAGGGGTACAGTGCGTCTGGACGTTGGTGTTGAAGATCTTGCCGCAGACCTTGGTGGTGTAGAGGATCTTGAGGGAACTGTAGATTTAGTTGCAGGAGTTGTCGATCTATTTGCAGGAAGTGTGGATCGAGTTGTGGGAACCGTAGATTTAGGGGCAGAATTTATGGACTTGTTTAACGGCAAGGTTAATGATGGTTCTGAGATCGGACATGAGCCGGAGCTGCGCCGACGACGCCATCTCAGATGCAAATCGTGGAGCAGAGAAGGGGGGAGGTGGAGGTGGAGGTGGGGGTGGGGTGGGTTTTTGGATGGGAGGGGAGGTGAAGAGGGTAGAGGACAGGGAGGTGGGTCGGACGAATGGGTTTCTGGGTTTCAGGTTTTTTCTTTTTTTTTTTTCGCTTTTTTTTTTTTAATAATAGGGTAAATTATTATAATATTTTAAATGTATAAAATAAAAAAAAATTTGTCACGTGACATAAATTTGACAGTCACGTGACACAAATATGGCAACCACATCAATTCTTAATTGATCAATTGATGAAAAATGTAACGGATGTATTATATTGAAATAAAATAGTACTTGAGGTATGAAAGTGAAATATTTTAAAGAGGTTGTGTTAGATTTCAACAGATTTCAAAAATGATGTGATAAAGTGAAATTTACCCAAAAATAGAAGGAAGCCAAATTCCACAATTTGTGAGGAAATTGTTTACACTTTTTCAGCCCGCCAATTGGGTCAAAAGAAACCAATTAAATATATATTATATATGAGGATTTTAAAGTAAAAGAGTCTTATGTCATGAAATGAAACAAATTGAGCTATTTCTAATATTGCCAATTGGTTTTATAGTGGAATTCAACTTTCTTCATGATATCAGAGCACGTACTCCATGTCACCCAATTCTTGTTGTCCAAGTGTTTGATTTGAAAATTCGCTATATGTGAGAGGTCATGTGAAGATGTAAAGGTAAAAGAGTTTCATATCAGTGAAAGAAAAAATCTTAAAATGAGAAATCTTGTAAGGGCTTATAAGAAGTTGAACTACTCCCCATATTACCAATTAGCTTTAAACTCCAACTTTCTTCAATTACATAAGTGTTACTATACACTAGGATTATGTATCGAAGTATAGTGATAGATATGTGTTTAACCTTAATCTAGAGCGGTTGCTAGATAGAGTCTTCATGTGCACTTTCGACCTAGGAGAGTTTTGCAAAGTAATGTGTTATGTAAACCAAGGCAGCTCAAGCGTGTACACTTTATGAACTACTTTCTTTGGAAATGAGAAGCAATAAAACAAAAAGGAAAACATAGGTCATACGCATATACCAAAACTCAGTACACAGTGATATCTATTTTGGCTTTAAATTTGGGATTTTTGCAGATATGAAAAAATATATAAGGAAAAGGAATAATAGAGAAGAAGTGGTGAAAGAAAAGAACAAATAAAAAATGGATACATACGAAATCTTAAAGGTGAAAAAGTTTAAAATAGATTTGAGTTTAAATATGTTTTCTTCTTGTATACGCTTCTAAAACTTAAAGAAAAATGTATTTCCTTTCACATTTTTTATACCTGTCGTTGTTCCACTATATTTCTCTTTATTTTTAACACAAAACTGAAAACTAAAAACGAAAAAACAATATGTATTTCATGCTCTCTAGTTACAACCTCATACCAAAGTCAATACACGTGAAATTGAAATTCCCCTGCAATGAGGTGTCGGTGTTTGTTGTTTTGTATCGATTGACAATTTTCATAGCACGCAAAAATGTCAACCTACGTTTATACGCGTTATTAGTACCGAATCAGTTTAATAGACGTGTGGCTTTTGTTTAATTATAATTAGTGCTAAAAAGTAAACTCGGTTATTTTCGTCGGGAAACATTATCCTGTTCCTGTTGACCTTACTAGCACAATGTTTTTTGTTTGTTTTAGTTTGATTTTGGCATTTGGGCTTTTGATTCCCTCACGCAAATGACACGCTTTCTATACATTTTACGATAACAGTGTGCGGGTTCATTAAAAAAAAATTTAAAAGCGTTTTTAGTGAGTATGTTTGAAATTCTAAAAGCACTTGATATGTTTCCTGCAAGAAACATTAATTACGTATTTCTTGCAAAAAGCACTCAAAGCGCTTTTTTTAAATTTATTTCCATTTTTACTTATTTGATTCTCTATTTTTATTAAATGTGTTTTTAGGTATTTTGAAAGTTTCTATGGTGACATAGTGATGAGCAAAGTGCTTATGCTGCAGATTGTGTGATGTTTTATACAGAAACGGACGGAGGTTGAAACTCCTTGGAAAAAGGGCGCTGACTCATTACACGAACCCAATTGTCAAGTCATAATTTTAGATAATTAGATGAAATAAAAACTCAATTTATGCAACTCCCTTGCAATTTGCTGGAAGTTTATATCACTAGTTTGCAGGACCCCGCGTTTAAACGTTTTCCGTACATCTATGTTAGTTCACATATATATATATATATATATATATATAAGAATGGAAATAACTTCTTCACTTCCATTTTTTCTTCAATATACATCGATTTATGTTTGGTTCTAGTTATATATAATTAGGTAAATTAAGAAACATAAATAAACAAAGTGTATAAAAAGATAGGTAAGAAAAAATGTGCAAAAGTTATACTTAGATAAATGAGTTAATTTACTACTGAGTAGTAGTTACGTAAGATTTTTTTATCTATAGTATAATTTAACGAAATTGAGTTGAAATCTATTTTTCTATTATAACAAATAGTGATGACAAATCACTAAAACAACAACGATCGATTATAAAACAAATGAGGGAGAGGGAACCTAATTTTGTTCGTGTTTATTTCTTTAAACATGTTTTTAGTAAAGCCAACTCTCGCTTGCTAATTTTGGTTATGCGCAAAATTATGATTGTATTGGGCTTGATTTTGTTTCTCCTTTTGCTAGCCAAGCTTTGCTTTGGGACTTTCGTTGACGTGACATTTGCCCGGGAGACTTTGTGTTTAATTTAATTTTAGCACTTGAGGAAAACAAATGAGAAAAAGGGTACTCGAGTCAAAGCTCATCGTGTTTATATATACTAGTAGAGAGCACACTCTATGTATGTGAATAATTTTTTTTAATAAGTGTATTTTTTTTTCTATATTATTATTAAGGGAAGCCTCCTTGCCAACTTTTTTCCGCTTGTTTTTTTTTTTTTTGCTATTTTGTTCTCCTTATGTAAATATTGTGTATCAAAAGTGTTATTAAGAGAAGCCTCCTTGTCAAAATATTTCCTCTTTTTATTTCCTATTTTGTCCTCCTTATGTAAATATTGTGTATCAAAACTGAGGGTGAAATTGAAAAAATAAGTATATGATTGTCATTTTCTCAAAAAAAAAAAAAAAAAAAGGGGGTAAAATAGGAAAAATAGGGATATGATTGTCATTTTGTCAAAAGGTACAAAATTACTATTTTGCCCTCCTTTTTGTCAATAGTGTGTATCAAAAGTAAGAGCAAAATAGGAAAAAAAATAGGGAAAATTTTGACAAGGAGGGTTCTCTTAATAATAGTATACACATATGTGTGTGTGTGTGTGTGTGTAATAAGGCAAAAAGTTGAACCTTGCCCCCTAAGACATTACCAAAGTCAAAACGTATGAAATAAGTGTGTATCAAAAATGAGGGCAAAATAGAAAAAAAAAAGGGAAAAGAGTTGACAAGCAAGATTACATGTGTGTGTGTGTGTGTGTGTGTGTGTGTGATAAGGCAAAAAGTTGAACCTTGCCCCCTAAGACATTACCAAAGTCAAAACGCATGAAATAAGTTGAAACCCCAATTAATATAATAGATTGATTAGCTTTCTTGTTAAGCAAATTAGCTTTACGATGCCGAACTTTGCTTAATTTAATTGTATTTGAAAGAATTAAAAATCCTAAAACAAACGTAATTATCACGTATGTAATTTTAATGCAGAGAAGCTAGATCCACTACGCTGGATGGTAGGTTGTTTAAGTAATTTTCTCTTACTTGAATTCATGTTTGCACTAAATTAAAATTTTGTTTAGTTAATTACATGATTACAAGTAACTATAATCTAATTAATGTCCCAGTCATCGGAAAAAAAAAAAATGTAAACCCAAGAATCCACACAGCACGTTTGGAGTTCGTATTCTGGCGCCAATGAATTGCACGATAGCGACCACAGGAGGCTGAAATGCATCTATGAGTCTTCAACCTCTAAAAAGGTTAATTGTTTTGGCAAAGCTATTAGCTAATCATTTTTTAATTGAAAAAAAAAAAAAAAAAAAAAAAAAGAAGAAGATATGCATTACTGTACAGTCTGTATTGGATTTGGTGATGGCCGGGTTTTGTTATTTTGTGTGGTTGACAATTTTTTATAAATGTCAGCCTGAATATTTGCCTACTCGGTTTGCTTTTACTTGTGCTAAAAGTAAACCTAATAACTTTGGAAAGTAATTTCCCGGCGAAGTTATGGTCGAAGTGGGATCATCCCTCAATGAGTGCCATATAATCAGCAGAGTATAAATCGCCCGCTGTAGACAGATTATATAGTGTTGAAGAAATTTCAAAACCTAAAGGAAAATTGTCAACTAATATTTCGTGATTTTACTACTACTTGTGTCAATTAAACCTACCTCTATAACTCGTTTGAGGATGTTTCTAAAATAACTGAAAACGCTTTTATATGAATAACTTGACTCTTATAGAGGTACTATCTAAAAATTAAAAATGATAAACTCTAATGTTGTAAGACTTACCCATGTAACAGATTTTGTGAAAAATATGAAATTAAAAGCAGCCTTAAATCACATTAACAACACTAGAACTCGACAAATCTGAGAAATTATTTAGACTTACCCATGTAGCATATCCTAAGAAAGCTTCCATAATTCATCACTGTTCTAAAAATCTCCGTCTAACGTCGCCTAGGCCTTGCCTAGGCGTTAAGTAATTAGCCACCGTCTCGATTAATCCTTAGGCGGTTGAAAATTAAGAAAGGGCATGTAGACCTACTTAGGCACTTACCTAGACCACATAGGCGCTCTACTAGCCTGCCCAGAATCACCTAGGTTGTGACTTTCACTTAGACATAAAATAGATAACTTTCATTTTGCTTTTATTTTTTTAAGCAATTTTTTTTAATGAAAACACATTATATGGTTGTTTCCCATATTTTCATGAAATTTTGTATTTTTAAGTATAAGCAAACATTTCATTTATACGATATATAATAAATTTATTTACATCCGCCTAGGTCATGCCGCCACCTAAGCGCTAGATCCCCATCCGCCGACCGATTAGTGCTTAGCGTACTTTATAACCTTTCACTTTATTGCTATATTAAAGCTGAAGAAATTTTTGGAACCACAAATTTGGCTCAGTAAAACTCCAAAATCCAGGCGAAGACAATAGCAGAGATCCAATTATCTGAAAAGAGATATAGGCTTGTAGCTGAAAAAAAAGGTTCTAAGGTATGGTTTGGCATTGAGGTGTTTAAAAAAAAGTTGTTTATTTTCAAAGTTTTTATGTTGAAGGTGTTTGGTAAACTAAAACAAAAAGAAGATTATTTTGGGAGCTGCTGTGAGAATAAGCTAAAATCATCAAAAAAGCTGAAGCACCTAAATGTTGCTTTGGAAAACTGGTTTTTTTTCAAAGCACGAGGAGATATAGTGCTCCCTTAATAAAACTTTCTAAAGTCCAATAACACCCTCAAACCAGAAACGGTGCTCCTTTGCCGATCTCCACAAGAAATGGAAACACAGAAACCCACCAGAAACCACTTTGCCAATCTACACAAGAAATGGAAACACAAAAACTCAGAAACCCACTAAACAACCACAACCAAAACTGATAATCGCAAAAAAAAAAAAAAAAAAAAAAACAAAAAA